ATTTCATAAACTTTGATTCTAATAAAGATCATTGTATTTTTAAAAAAAACTTTAATCTCATAATTTATTTAATAATCTGAAACATTACTTTTTTAATCCTATTTTCATTTCATTACATCTTGTAATAGTCAAAAACAATTAATATTTCATTGTTTCGAAATTTCATTATAATATTTTCAAATATTAAACGTTTTCAACTGTTGTAAAATATGACGAAATGAAAATAGAATTAATAAGGTAAAGCCTCAAATTATCAGATTTGAAATTTCAGAAATACAACGATCTTCATCACATTCTAAAATTTAGAAAATATAATGTTATTTACACATATTATTTTTTTTTCATATGTTTATTTTATTTTATGAGCTTTGTAACACGCACTGGACAATTTGCCCAATCTCTGATTGGTCGAGATTTCGACTTCCCCACCATTATGCATATTGGGTCACCTTTCTTATTTTATCATGACACAACATATATATTGTTCAATGAACATCGAGTGGACGTTATAATTTTTGCACATATAATGTTCGATTTTAAAGAATAAATTTGTTTCTGAATTTTACTATTTTTCTGTCGATATAACAACAGTATCGGATTTTCTAAATGTTTTATTGTCAATGTTACGTTGCCAATTATAAGCCAATGACGTACAGCCCACGTAACACAGTAACGCTTAAAAAGCGCGTATGCAGGTGCATTACTTTAGCAGCTTTTTAGCACTTTCAAAGCATTTTCAAAATCCACTATGAAAAGCGCATTATAAGCGCATACAATCAGCGCAGAATAAATACAGTTTTATAGCACATTTACTGCACTTTTCATGTCGTATAACAGTGTCTGTAATAGGTATAACTTGAAATTAGCCGAGTTATCCGCATGCAATAAAAGTGTATAATTAACAGCAGTTTTGGGAGGTGCAATCTGAACAACGCTTCGAAAGCGCTTTACACGCGCTGGTGCTACGTGGGAGATATCACTTTTATGCAACATGCATATTCAGAGAATATGCTGTGTGAGATATCTTTATATGAAAAGTATGTTCCTATATATATTTAACTTACCGGTAAATTTAATATTTTTTCGAGCCTTTCATTAACATTTAACCCTTTTTTCGACCGCATTAATAGAAATATTTCACGAACATCTGGACAAGACCGTAACACCTTTTCGAAAAAAACTTTACCCAGAAATCCTGTTGCACCAGTTAAAAGTATACTTTGTCCAGCGTAAAAAGCAGGAATCGACTTGACAGGATCAACAGTCATCTTGTCCATTACTTTTAAAACAAATCTGATATAAATACTTAGCAGCACGATGAAAAACGTAGGTAGTGGTATTGATTGACACTTTTACTATATTGTGATCAATGTTTGTAAAGTTTGAAAAAATGCTTGCGTTAGATAGACTATGCACAATTTAAATTATTTCAGTTTTATATTTGCAAGATAATAAAATGTGGGATAATCAATGCTTTACTAAACCGGAAATTATTGTATTCGTGCAACCTAAGGTTGAAAGAGCAAACATGCAACATTTTTGTATTTATTTAGGAATATGCTATTCGCTATTGTCATATCTGCGAACACATTCCTTTATTCGCGACATATAGCTGGAACATTAGTTACTGTACATGTACGTGATTGCACCATGAACTGAAAGCGTCCGTTTTACTAAATTTTTTTCCAAAAAGAAAATAAGAAAATATTTCTGTTGATTAAACAAAATTATAAATCTCTTCCTATAATTAAAATAAACAATAATACTATGTTGAATAATTTCACGTAACAAATGAAAAAATGCAGTTCTGTTATCGGGGTTTCTGGTAATATCTTATTACTGTTGCAACGGTATACAAAAAATAGATATATTAGATTAATTTAAAAAGGTTTTAACGGAATTATTGGCTCTTGCCCTTATCTCCTATATTAGTTATTTAATACATATTGAGCCTTATCTCAATCATTTAAAAAATAGATTGCTGACTTGCTGATAACTGTTTATTTGCAACATTATTAGCATGAATAAAACATTAACAAGATGCGTTAGAAAATAAATTTGCTTACATATGCAGCAGCTAATTTGATATACAGTTATTTATTAATATGAAAATATATTAGAGGATTGCATTGAGAGTCGCCGTTCACATTTAAATAGTTCTAATTGCGTATGCTGTGGTCAAGCGTGATTTACACGAAGCGATTTTCATTCGCTGGAAGCCGCGTTTAGTGATTCGCCAGCAAATTTTCACGATTCTGCTGTTAATCGCTTGAAGTAAACTTCTTAATTCGTGAGCGAATTCGCTGATGAAATCTTCTTCTACACGTTTGGGTTTTATATAGCTGGCTACTAAAATTTTGAATTAGCAGCGTCGAGTGGAAAAATTCGTCTTTTCACAACTTAAAATTTCACGACTTAAAAATTCGCTTTGGAAGAGCAGTAAGGAGCTAGCGACAAACAATATTTGCCACGACTATATGCTAACAAAAATAAATCCACGTCTAGAAGAAGTTTTTCTTACCCAGAAGCAAAGCCTATGGAAATAGATTTGTAGCAGAGCTTGCTGACAATTTTTGATTGCCGATTGGTAACAAAAACCGAGCAGAGTCCGCTGACATGATCTGACAGCAGAGCCTGCTGACAGAACTTGACGACAGAAACCGCGCAAGATTTGTCAGAAGAAAACGTTCAGGAGTTTTTATAATTTGATTTTATGAATTGATGTCAAATAGGCAAATCTCTTGGAGATTCTCAAGCTCTTTTGGAATGTGCTTTCTGAATCTCCCAAAATTTTTGACTGTTTTATAACTTTCTCATATGCATTTTGAAATGTAAAGCTAATCAAATCAGTAATATTTTAGCAGCAAAAAATAAAACTGTATTGTTTAGTGTTTTCACCAGTATATTTACACATAATTATATACAGAGTCCGCCAAAAGTCCCGGGCCGTTTGTATAATTTCTGAATGGTGCGAGATATAGGATTAAAATTTATAGGTTTACAATGGGATCATAAACTTAAATGGCATGTGGGTTCGAGTCAGGGCTCGTCTGAAAGAGCTTTTTGAGACGAAAACAACGCGGACTGACCGAGGTCTCTATGATTTTGTTTCGCAGAGTTATATGATCATTTTAACATTAAATTGTTATTCAGATGATTAAAGATTGAGACAAAATAATGCTTAATCATTTTTTAGGCTTTCACGGGTATTTTCTTCAATTATGCCAGAAGGTTTGCGGGTTTTTAATGCATTAAAAATGAAGAAAGACACGGCGATAACCCGCAAACCATCTGGCATAATGCTTAATCGTATTATATTACTGTTTTTCATTGAAGATAATATAACTTTAGATAATTATTTGAATTTGCTAAGATATCAAGTGTACCGGTTATTTAAGATATTGCTGAAGAAGTTTTCCCGAATGTTTGGTTTCAGCAGGATGGGGTTACAGCCGATTTTTCTTTGATAGTTTGAAATTTTCTTAACGGTATTTTTACTGATCGATGGATTGGTAAAAGAAGCACAATAAAATGCAGGCCACTGAGATCACTAGAACTGAAACCTTTTTTTACTGGAAAATCATTTAAAAAGTAAAATTTATGAGACTAAGCCAACAAACTTAGAAGAGCTGCGGCAAAGAATAGTGAACGTTTTGAATTCAATTTCACCAGAATGCCTAAGTAACGGTACGTTATCGATACGTTTTACGTACGCATGGGACACTATTAAGTTGTTGGAAGACATCAATTCGAACAGTTGGTAAAATAGTGTTTTTATTAATATGTTAATAAAATTAATAAAGTTTTTATTTCTCTTTACATATGCCATTGTTTCTCTCTCCCTCCCACCTCTCTCTCTCTCTCTCTCTCTCTCTTTCTTACACATACACACACGAGCACACGTAATCATGCACGTACAAGAAATGTAACTCTTAGAGATGTAACATATATAATAAAAACATTATTTTCGACCTTTTCCTCTTCTGGTTCAAAGCATGTACAAAAAGAAATCTTCTCGGAGAAGCAATCCAGTATTAGCTTCTCGCCTTGATGAAGTGATAATACACATAGAATTGTTTATATTCTAATAATAGATCTAGACACGTAGATAATATCCAGAACGCATAAGTTTAGTATAGAAAGAACTTATGGTAGCCTCAGAAATATTATCAAATAAATAAAATATTGATTAAAGATAAAGGAAAAACAGATTGGAATTAGAAATTGAAGTGGATGATGCATAAACTTTTTTATATTTATACATATATCATATACATATATTATAACCTTTCAACAAATAATTACAACACTAATAAAAAACATGTTTGTTGTTGATGTACATAACTAATTTCTATTTGTATTAGACATTATAAATAAATATAAATATCATCTCGTCTTTAATTTACGATTTAGTGATTTTCTAAACATGCACATACATGGATAATTTTTAATATTAAATTCTAAAATATTACCATTATTCTGAAATCACAATATAATGTTTACAAATAGAATACCTATATTTTGAAATATTTTGATAATATAATAAATCTAATTTTATTATTAAGTTATGTTATTATTTATTATTATGTAGTATTTGAAAGAACATTTTTATTTATTTTTAATTAAAATATATTTTTGTTTATAGTTTTATTATGTCCTCAAAATATTTCAGAAATGGGTGTTTTTAACATATTTTTTTAGAACATAACTAATACAAATACGAAGCCTATAAAGATCTTAGCTAGACCGTTATAGGCTTCGTATTTGTATTAGTTATGTTCTTACATTAACGGTCTTTAGTATTGAATATTGTTTAATTAATTAATTATTAATTATTAATTTAATAATTCGTGAAAGCACCGCGGTAGTTTACATGCAAACGATTAAAAGATGTTAGCTAGACTGTTATAGGCTTCGTATTTGTATTAGTTATGTTCTTACATTAACGGTCTTTAGAATATTGTATATTATTTTTATTCTCTCATCATTATGTATAAGAATTATGTATAAGAATAAATCCGTTGATATATTATCCACAATCCAATAAAAATGGCAGTTTCCACTATTGTCACGAAGAGATATACTCTAAATATCGAATAAAAGCAATTAGCGTATTAGACATATTTTATATATAACTACAATTGTATTGTGTATAATTACATAAAGTTATTTATAAACTATAATAAATCACGTTTAAGTACACATGAAAGTATATGAATCGCTATGTGTATTCATATATGAATGTATATGAGAGAAATTTGTATAATAACATATGTAAAAGTAGGCATTAAATATTGTATGTATACGTTTACACATTTATAAATATTTGTAATATATTAGTATTTATATTCATGTTTATTATGTATTAGCTGTGTATTGTACATCTTGGATTTTACGTTAATTTTAATTTTTAATTTTAATCATATCTTGTGTCTTTGTAATAAATAAAATAATATAATGTTGTAATTATGACTTTTTGTATGTGATATATTATACACATGTCGCACATTATACACTTTTCAACACTTCGGTATTTTTTTAATTTTTAACAGTAAAAATTAAAAATATTTGATTCTTATTATATACAAGTGATGGATGGAATAAAAGGTCAGTGAAAGTATTCTAAACTGAACAAATAATTATATAAAGATATAATTTGTCATAAGTGTAGCATATTCCACCAGTTACCCCATATAGTTTTAAATTAAGTAAATCAATCTTTTTCAGCACATAAATGATAATAAATAGGATTATGTGTATTTATATTTTTACCTTTTGTTACGTGCTCTGACTGCATCCAGTCTATTCATATCTTCATGAAGAAGAAACTTTTTAAAACCAATTATACAAGTCCTTTATATCATAGAATAAATATTTATTGAATTTATATTATCATCATTTTAGAACTATTACTATTACTATCTTACTACTTATAATAAAAAATATACTCTCTATACTTACTTTATATACCCTCTCATATCATATTCAGCAGTTTCGAAGGAAAATGTGTCTTTGTCATCAGATGGTATTGATGATAAGAGTAACGATGTATTAGTATTGATATATTTCCAGTTATGAAACGTAAAATAACTCACTGCACGATTGGCCGCATACAATTGTCTTTGCAGCTGTAATATCCTAATTTACATACTATTCATTAATATAAAATGTTTTAGTTAACATTTATAACAAACTTATAATACAGTTTTATTATTTCTTTTAAATCATATTGCTTGAACTATAGATCCACAAGAAAGTGGATTTGAAAATAATATATACATCTTTACTTTAGATATATATTATATAGATATATACACTATAGATATAAAAAAATTGTTCCTAAATGTTCAAAAAAAATTAAATGTAAACGCGCGGAAGGAAAGTAAACACAAAATGATTTTTTAGATTAATTAATAAAATAAAAATGTTTTTGCTGAAAATGGATCGTGCAAAGCATTTAACTATATCGGTTGCAGAGTATTTAGCGATTGAATCAAATATATTCAAAAACAATTCGCATTTGTTTAAATAAGCTGAATATTTATTTTAAATCTTACATAGGTCGTCGTCTAGAGAATTTTGAACTTAAATCCATTAATGCAGCTGGTAGAACGTGCAATAATATTGTTAAAATATAATACAAAACAAAATTATCAGTCATTATTACGTTAGGAGTCCAAACAATTCCTTCCAGAGGTACTTCATCAATCATAATTTTGTAAAAAATCTTAGCACCATTTTGATGGGTTAAATTTTTCTGACTTATACAATTTAAAACAATAAATGTAGAATCTGTAAAGCTGATAACAAATAAAATTTTATATAAATTAATAAAATCACAACAGTAATTTACAAGAAGTTTCTATGTAAGTTTAAATCAGCAGTATGTATATTAAAAATAAGATAAATATTTGCAAAACTTCGAATTGTATAAACAATACAAAACGTTATTAAAAAATATCAGGGTTGGGTAAGTTGACTTTTTCTTCCATTATAAGTTAAAGTTCATAAATTTTAAAATTTAACTAAAAAAAATGTAACAATCACGCTTCTGAAAAGTATAGTAAATGTCGAAAATCTTATTTCAAATACTTATTAAACGTTATTTTAAATAATTATGTAATATAAATTATGTAAATAATATTACTTAATACCAATATCTAACTTTATTAGCGTATATATTTGACAATAAATATTCTTTATAGATTACAAAAAAATGCATATTATACTGAGAAAAATAGTTTGATTGTATCAACAAGATGTATTTGATTAAATGCATGTTGGTTAAATCTAGCAGAATTTCTGATTATTATAACAGAACTCGAGATTTTATAACTAGACCGTTTAGTAGATTATACTATAAGGATTTGTTTAATATTTTCTAGTTGGATCTACAAAATTTCTAGTTATATTCACTAGCGTACGCAACATTACCAGAATTCTGGTTAACGTTGGCGCACGATAGCAGTTTTATTATTGTACAAGTTGGCGCAAGTCGCGGCATGAATGCTCGCAAGTGCGAACAGTGCGAGCATATTTTATCATTTCGTGATTCGCGTGATCGCAGATCGTTGTCGAGCCGTGCAGTTAAAAGTGATTACCGTGTCTCCGGATATATTTGTAAAGTGTACCAGGACGGACGCGTTTGTATCTCGGCTGTGTTGCAGCAACATAATTTTTTATAGATTTGTCTCCTGTCGTTATGTAGCTCGTTATGACTGACGAAAAAACCTGTGTTCTTCTTCGCCAATGGAACTTCGAGAAGTATTTAGAAGTTTTTAAAGGTAATAATAATACATTTAATTTTTGAATTTTTGTTATGATCGCTTTATAATATAATATTGCTTAGCACATAAATTATGGACGTATTTCGTATTTCTGGTACCATTAACGAGAAGAATTTATTCATTCAACAAGAAATTTTGATAGAAGTTACAAAAATAATTGTTTAATCAACAAGAATTTCTGGTATAATTAACGAGAAAAATTAATTCGATCAACAAAAAATTTTGGTAAATTTAACTAGAAAGAATTAATCAAATTCATCCCGTAATTATAACAAGAATTCTGATTCGTCCGTTTTTGAACAGACCTACTGGTTCAATCTACCAGATTTCTAAATAATCCAACCAAACTCTTTTTTCAGTGATATAAACATGGTGTCACATAGTTCCAAATAAAAGAAAGAAAACGCTTTCTGTTTACATATTTATAACGTATTATAGGTAAAAATACATATATATGATCGTACATGGTTGATCCTATCTTCCAAGTTACCACTATTATTTCATTGACAACAATATCTACCGGCACAGTGTTAATACAAGCTGTAGAAAAGTAGCATACTCGTATTAATGCTTTTCCGATACCAATCATAAGTCCAATAGGACCATAAAAGTTATCTATCCATTCTGGCATTGGTTCTTTTAATGCTGGCATTACTAAAATATAGAAAACATTTGTTAGAATATTATTATAACAACTTTTATCACATTAGATTAGTACGTACTAAAAAATTGCTATACAAATTAATAAAATTACATGTACAAAAGCATATAAATATATTTATAATGGAACATTCTATTTTATTGACAAATTTAATTTTATCACGCCATTGCATATATAACAATATTTAATGTGTATTAATTCAAAAGATTGCATATAATCAAATTAGTCATTAGATTGTTACCTTATATCACTAACATTATCAAGTTTACGTACCATTGCTCAAAATCAAACTGTTCAGACAAAAACTATACTTTAAAGACAGTTTTAATTTCAGTATATTTTTCTCATAAGAAACAGAATTAAGTATATTAATTCATTTATAAGTAAGAAGATTTGCAATAGACATAGATATTTAATTAATTAAATATACGTTATATAAACATAACTATTAAAATAATCATAAATATCTGAACATCTACTTTATATATATTAAAATTTAAAATAGTTATACATATATGTATATTTCCATTCTTTTTAAGGAGATCCTAAAGTCGTCTGTGTTAACCGACTATAAACGCAATAATTGTTGTATAACAATTATTTTTCTTCTCTTTCACAGATTTTCATTCATAGATTTTAATATGTCGTTCAACATTATCAAGATCCAAGATGCTATGAGTATCAAAATTGTTAAATTGCTAGATAATTTAACTCGTGATATTATTCCGGTAGTTTCGTAGAGTGGCGTTTCAAGTCCGAAACGTTGTTCGGCGCGCAGTTTGAAAGACTACATACGTAATATATAAAATCACACGGAATTATAATTAGCACCTAAGATTCAGCTAGACCGTTAAAAGCAATTTCTTATTGGATGATGTCTGAAGCTGTGTCATGTGATAACATTTATTTGACATGAAAGCTTTGCAATCTATACTTACGAAATATAGTAACCCGCAAACACATAATTTGTATAAACAAACAACGTCGAGTTCTTAGAATTAGACTTACAAGGGGAGGGCACATCCAGCATATCGCCAATTGAGATGAAAAAAATTCAGGTGATTCTTTGAACAAAAAAAACGAATGCGTGTTTTGGGATTTTTCGAGATAGGGCTCTGATCGGTAAAAAAAAAAATTTAATGTAAGTAAAAATACGACATTCATAATTAATTTGAAACACATAGCAATCAAAACAGAGGTGTCGTCTATTCCTTTGTTTTTCATGCTTTTACGACGAATATCACCCAAGTACGTGTTCTTCAAATGTACAGATCTCGTAGAATATAATTGTCGTACGATTGTTGTTATTGTAAAACTTACATATTTTAATTTCCGTTATTTACACATATATTACGTATGTGATACCAACCAATTCTATCTTTAAAAATCTAGATTGTCTACTTCAATCAATAATTTCTTCAACTATTAATAATGTTCCATTTATTTTTAATATTGGTTACTTTAACCATTTCATATTGTAATTTCATGTGTATGTTGATAACATTAAATTAACCTCGATAAATTTAAATTTAAATTAATTTACTGTTACCCTGGTAGAAATTCTCTATAAAATAATATTATATTATATTATATAATATAACGGTCAAAATCTAATGTACATAATGAAAAATAAGAAATAATTTTTGTAATTAAATTAATTATGAATGTCGTATTTTTACTTACATTAAATTTTTTTTTTTTACCGATCAGGGCCCTATCTCGAAAAATCCCAAAACACGCATTCGTTTTTTTTTGTTCAAAGAATCACCTGAATTTTTTTCATCTCAATTGGCGATATGCTGGATGTGCCCTCCCCTTGTTAGACACTCTTTATCTCAACGAATTTGTAAAATTGACACGTACGTGAGATTGCGCATATTATTGTCTGCATAAAGGATTGGTGTGGTAGTACGAGTATATAAAAATATGTCGATGTTCACATTTTATCGATATAATAATGATCTCGTTGTAGTTCAAGTTTCACTTCAAGATCCCCTTAATACTTTGTTATCATCTCTACAAAAGTTGTACTCTATCGATACATAATGTAAAAGAAGATAATGGAGACATAAACATTTTTGACATTCCATAATAACGTATTACTTAGAAATAAAACTTTATCCTAATAATTAAAAAAGTGGCTACGTACCCATGGAAGGTCTTATAATCGCGCAAGGCAAAGAGGAAGAATATTCCTGTATTACACTTTCAGCTAGAGCTTTTGAGAAAGTATACGCATTGGGAAAGTAATCTAAACATCTATACATAATTTTAAATATATTCAATATTAAAAATTTGAATATCATTTAAAAGCGCGATAAAAATATAATCGCAACGAAAGTTTTTAGAAAGCAAAAAGAATTCTGTTAAGGTAGTACTAGCGCGACAATACCATCCAAAAGTTAGATTCTGATTTAGATCGCGTGTTCATTGATGATTCCCTCACTCACCCCAGAGTGAGAGAAAACTTTTGGTTACGAGTGTCATCTACACACACTCTAAAGCCCGTGTCACATTACGGATTGTGAACACGAATCGGATTGTGATTGCGGATCGCCGGATTTGGGTTCTTCGTTCACACTACGGATTCAATTTGCAACATATGTTGTATCGCAAATGTCGTATCGTCAATGCCGTGTCGTCGACATTTGATGTGTATGACAATGTTCAGTTTACAAAATTATAATTATAATCATGCATTCGTTGTCTTTTGTAAAAAGATCACTTTTTGGAGCCATTGTATGAGCTATAGGTGATCACACCAAATAATGCTTATTCACCCATCAATAAATGTGTCACGTGCTCAAAACTTAATGTTTCTATTGACTCGGATCACGATTACGGATCGCAAAAATAGAGATCCATCTATTATGCAATTTACAAACCGGATCCGAAGTTGTCTTGTCTTGAATGGCTGAATTTCGATCCTCGATCCATAATCCTAATCCGGTCCCCGTCCACAATCCGTAGTGTGACACGGACTTGAGACTTTTGTATACGATACATATTATTTAACGTAATAAATATGTTGTATTCAGTTACACAACTACATATTTCTAACTTCAATATAAACCTAAAATTTTGACGTTGTGACGATAGCTGTGTATTTGCAATAAAGAGTGAGAATGATCCCTCAATTAAGATATAAAGGTCAATTTATTAAAGAAAAAATTGAAAGCAATTTCGGTAATATCTTAAACAAACAAAAAAAGGCTTGAGAAAATGTATTACATTTTCATAATCATAAAATATGATATTTGTGTTGAGCAATGTGTATACCACATACTATGTTTATTTGCATTTTTTAAACTAAAGGGTCAACAATTTCGAAAATTTTTATAACATTTATATATTTCTATTCTGTAACATTCTCATTTGTTTATCATAATCCTAAGCATGGTATGGATACCATAACTAAAAATCTGACGTTAACTTGAGTAGCGTATATGCATCATATGTTAATACTGCAAATTTTAATAGCCATTATTTCAAAAACTAGACGGTCAATATGTTTCTAATTGCACAAATACATAAAGAGCACTTCAACTTACTTGTATTTAAAATTTTAACTTATTCGTAAAAAGATCATTTTATGCGAGTACTACCTTAATATCTAACTATATATGTATTTACAAATTTGTAACGTAATTTCTATTTGTAACTTACTTAGCTTCGAAAATTTTTAAAGTATATTCATCTAATGTCTCGGCCATTTTGATTATCTTTTGCCAGTCAGCTATGGGTGGATACGCTTTTTCTTCAATTGTTGGCTCATTCACGTGTGTAAACGCTGTACTTATGTGTACCAATGCCTTCAACACATAACAGAAATTTATTTGAAAATTTCATTTCCTAAAAATTTTCTTCTACACAAAATATTTGTAATAAAACAATAGTTAATTAGTTTATAAGCACAGTTTATATTATAAGTAGGTATTACTGCATTATGGTATTTCAGTTATATCCATGTCATACATTTATCTAAATTTAATTTGCTTACACTATTATTAATATTGAAAGTACAATAGTCATGTCAGATAATTTGTGACTAAAATATACAAGTTGTTAAAATTACTGCAACTTATAGGGTGACTGCAACAGAAGGAATTTTGTACAAAATATGTATATGCGTATGCATGATCACAACTATTTTCTTTCCGACTTACTATTAAATTCTTCATATTTTGCGCTAAAATACAAATGTCTCTTGTTGCCCTAGTATTGGCAAGTATGGCGTACTTGAAACTATTCAAAAGTTTTACATCTCCCGCTGCATGTATTATTATAGACACTCTTTCAATCAGTATTTGTTTATCGGCAACCGATAAACCTAAGTCTTTTTCTTTGATATCGCCAGAAATTGGAATTAATTTTTCCGAATTCAAACGTTGCTCTTTGCGTAGTTCTTCGTACAACTAAAATTGAAGGATATTGTAATTTAAAAAAAGGTTATTGTTATAAATTTTATAATAATTTCTATGATATTTTTAATAAATTTACAACAAATATAAAACACTTAATTGCTTTCGCGACAATTTTAAATTAAGTGCATTCTAATTCTTCTTTACATAATATTTATGTATAAAATTTCAATATTGAATATACCATAAAAGATAACTTTTTTTAGTAATAGCGTTGCAACACAAATTAATTAAAGAACTTTTTTTCACAAACATTGAAATTTGTATTATAATATTTTATATAGTATTATAGTATTTTATAATAATGTTTTTTAATCATGTTGACGACAATATAAAAATTGCATTGTTATAAATATTTCGCACAACTTCTTGTCCGAGGAACGATTTGTGAATGATAATCGATCTGATATACAAGTTCATATTTATTTCATCCAATCAAATATTTTTTTATTAACATAACCGCGACAATCATTCCAAGTATTTCACTATGTCTCACATTGCATTGCTAAGCTATATAAACAATGTCGTATAGATACCTAATGTCTGTGCGGTGTCCCTCAGATGGCGATTGTGGGGTGAGGACATTATTATAAAAAGTCTTTCTCTCTATACTTAACTTACCGGTAAATTCAATATTTTTTCGAGTCTTTCATCAATACTTGACTTTCTCGTCGGCCGCATTAATAAAAATATTTCACGAACATCTGGACAAGATCGTAGCACCTTTTCGACAAAAACTTTACCCAGAAATCCTGTTGCACCTGTCAAAAGTATACTTTGTCCAGCATAAAATGCAGGAATCGATTTGGTTGGATCAACAGTCATCTTTGATAGAGAAGTGTGTATATGGTATAATATGTAATCCTCGAATAAATGCTTATATCTACAAATCCGCAGAAATTAAATACTCTTCTATAGCCGTCAGATAATGAAATCTGCATGCTTTATAAATCGGAAATGATTATGATTTTGCAAACGTTGAAAGGTTAAGCGGTCAGTAACATACGTCAATTTTTAAAATAACAACAATGAATAGTAAAAATATGATGTACTATTTTATATTATGTTATATGTTTACTATATTAGCATTTTACTACATTTAACTGTATTTTATTGTTTGCTGCATTTTACTATATTCTCATTATTTAAACATCATCATTAAGATCATTGGATCTCATTATTTAAACTTTCTGCAGTCAAAAAATAATTTTTTTTTCCATTTCTTTGTTCTTCTCTTTAAAAATAAGAAAGAGAAAACAAAATTATGTGAGACTGTTTTTTTATTATTCGAAGTACGGAGATTTTATGCGACATAACACGAAACTCACACACATTTATTAAACGTCTTTATTGTTTTTAACTTTATATAATATATACATTAAGGACTTTTGTTATAATTATTTATAAAATAAATGGTTTTATAAAAATTTAAATACAATTTTAAATTGGGATAAAAAATAGAAAAACAAAAAAAATGAAAGAGAAGAGGGGAGAATAAGGCTCTGAAACGATTAAAATTCTAAATTTCATTTGACAATCGTATTAATAATACTATGAAACACTATTTTGCCTACGCCTAACCTACTATAAATAGCTATTTATAACGTATTTTTGCCTGCTAAACATTTGTTGAAAAAAAATAGCTATCATGTTAAAACTTTGAGTAAGATGGCAACTAAAGAACCAAAAACGGAATTCTTTTTTGGCACTTTTCTTAAAATTTTAATGTAATACTTTTTTGTCAACAGATTCGTGTTCAACAGGAAAAAATACGTTAAAAAAGACTTACACTCATGTGACAATGGGGTTAAGTAGGACGGAAATGACGGAAAACGATGAAGGAAAATTATGATGGAAGTTAAATTGTAAATGAATAATATTAATGTATTATGCATGTAAAATATAACAGGGTGTCAGGAAGCTACTACATCACCCATCATGAACAGGTAGAGCGGATTAAATAGAATCGAAAAATCTTTTACCATTTTGCAGTTGCAACAATAGTTAACGAGATATTAATTTTTAAATATCTTTTAAAGATATATATTTAACGATAGCCGAATAAACGCGTTCGTATAACCTTCTACTGCCAAGTGAACATGCCTTCGTCGCTCGTCACACACTGCCGCGAGCCTCTAAATGTCGATTCGACAAGCACAACAGCGCGATCGCTGCAGATCTCTGCGACCCGTGCGCATCGACAAATATTTTAATGTACACCTAAGGGCCTCATTTTTGGCTTGTCTTTAAGGCCTTTTCATTATTATTTAATCAGAACTTGAGAACAGGAGTTTAAGGCCATTGCATGTAAAAGTTTTAGTCGTATAATTATAAAAAGCGATAATTAATTGGCTATAGGCAATAAGTCACGTGATCGTCTTTCCGTTGGTTGGTCAAAGCATTAATCGCAATTTTTCGACGAGACGGAAACTTATAACTATAAGGATGCGTTTCGAATAAACGTCTGATGAAGTGATAATACTCATAGAATTTTTTCATTTTAATGATAGATATGGATACGAAGATAATACGCAGAACGCATAGGTTTAATACAGAAAAAACCCAAGAAACCTTAAATAAATAAAGTATTGGTTAAAAATAAAGGAAAAACAGATTGGAATTAGAAATTGAAGTGGATGATGCATAAGTTTTTTTACATTTATATATTGTATATATACATATATTATAAGCTTAACCTTTCAACGAATAATTACAACAATATTAAAAAACATGTTTGTTGTTGATGCACACAACTAATTGCTCTTTGTATTAGACATTATAAAAATAAATAAAAATATCGTCTTGACTGTAATTTACGATTTAGAGTGATTTTCTAAACATACACATACATGGATAATTTATAATATTAAATCCTAAATATTACTATTATTCTGAAGACACAATATGTTTACAAACAAAAATATTTTTTAGCTAGATATACTTTTCTTCTGACAAGTATATGGATCACTGTAAAAGATATTGCTGTGTAGTTTACATCCACTTCTTCAGACGGCAGTAGTGCGCGGCAGCATTTTACGGTTACAGGAAAAAAGTCCTCATGTCCTCTCTCAGGTTTTTCTATGTCGACACCTATACGCGAAAGAGATAGTTAATCTCTCGTTGAACTAAAATGTAGGCTATAAATGGCATCTTTCACACATCTTCCACTTAATATTGAATATAACTTTTACTAATAATAATATTACAACAGCATTCATAGAAAGATTCTTTATATTCAATATTTAAATATAATAATATTTATTTAAAATATTTAAAAGATTTTAATAATCTTATGTGTTATTAAGCCCGATCTACAATTGCTTAAATGTAGGGGAAGACTCCGTTTGCCTTCAATCTCGATTGCACAAATCACTCACATTGGTCGGTATCTAGTAACTTTTCTCTATTTTACCAATGAGGTTATTTTATTTTTAAATTAGCCAATCAACGAGCAATGTGTGCAATCGGGATTGTAGGCAATTGGAACCTTCCCAAATGTAGATGTAGTTGTAAGAATTGACCAATTATAAGAAAATATCCAACTGTAATTGGAGAATTCATACAACTACGTTTACGCAGTTGTAAATCAGGCTTTACAAATACTTCACCCAGCACATAATGTAATAAGAAAGGTGAAACATTTCGGTAAATGCGCAGTGAACTGAAAGGTGCGGGGATATGTCAGTCAATCAGAGTTTGGATAATTTGTCTGATTTTAATTTCATTACATCTTGTAATAGTAAAAAACAATTAATATTTGATTGTTTCAAAATGTTATTATAATGTTTTCATATATTATAATTGTTTTCAACTGTTGTAAAATATAACAAAATAAAAATAGAATTTAAAAGGTAAAGCATCAAATTATCAGATTTGAAATTTCAGAAATACAACGATCTTCATCACATTCTAAAATTTAGAGAAAATATAATGTCATTTATAGATACTTATTATTTTTTTTCATATGTTTATTTTATTTTAGGAGCTTTGTAACACGCGCTGGACAATTTGCCCAATCTCTGATTGGTCGAGATTTCGACTTCCCCGCCATTATGCATATTGGTTCACCTTTCTTATTTTATCATGGCACAACATATATATTGTTCAATGAACGTCGAGTGGACGTGTAATTTTTGCACATATAGTATTCGATTTTAAAGAATAAATTTGTTTATAAATTCTACCATTTTTCTGTCGATATAACAACAGAGTATCGACTTTTCTAAATGTTTTATTGCCAATGTTACGTTGATAACTATAATCTAATAATGTCCTAGATATCACTTTTATGCAACATGCATATTCAAAGTGTGCTGTGTGAGATATAATTATATGAAAAGTCGATAAATATATATATATTTAACTTACCGGTAAATTTAATATTTTTTCGAGCCTTTCATTAACATTTGACCCTCTTTTCGGCCGCATTAACAGAAATATTTCACGAACATCTGGACAAGATCGTAGCACCTTTTCGACAAAAACTTTACCCAGAAATCCTGTTGCACCAGTTAAAAGTATACTTTGTACAGCGTAAAAAGCCGGAATCGACTTGGCAGGATCAATAGTCATCTTGTCCATTACTTTTAAAATAAATCTAATATAAACACTTAGCTGCACGATGAAAAACGTAGGTATAGTGGTATTGATTGTCACTTTTACTATATTGTTCAATGTTTGTACAGTTTGAAAAAATGCTTGCGTTAGATAGACTATGCACAATTTAAATTATTTCGGTTTTATAGCTGTAAGATAATGAAATGTGTGGGATAATCCGTGCTTTACTAAACCGGAAATAATTGTATTCGTGAAATCTAAGGTTAAAAGAGCAAGCATGCAATACTGTTGTCCTTATTCAGGAATGTACTATTCGCTATTGTCATAGCTGTAAACACATTCCTTTATTCATGACAAATACTTTAATATTCCGGGATATAAATTACCGTACATGTATGTAATTGCACTTTGTTTATGATGTCAAGGAGTCCATTTCACTTTTTCTTTCCAATAAAAAAATATTTCTTGATTAAACAAAATTAAAGATCTCTTCCTATAATTAAAATGAATAATAATGCTATGTTGTATAATTTCATGTAAAAAATGAAAAAATACAGTTCTGTTATCGGTTTCCGGTGATATCTTATCGTTACAATGCTATACAGGAAATAAATTTGCTGATTTGCTGATAACTGTTCATTTGCAACATTATTAGTATGAATAAAACATTAATAAGATGCGTTAGAAAATAAATTTGGTTACATATGCAGCAGCTAATTTGATATACAGTTATTTATTAATATGAAAATATATTAGGGGGTTGCATTGAGAGCCATCGTTCACATTTAAATAGTTTTAACTGCGTACGCTGTGGTCATTTACATGAAGCGATTTATATTTGCTGGAAGCCGCGTTTAGTGATATCATTAATTCGCCAGCAAATTTTCACGATTCTGCTGTTATTCGCTTGAAGTAAATTTCTTAATTCGTCAGCAAATTCGCTGATGAAATCTTCTTCTACACGTTTGGGTTTTATTAGCTGGCTACTAAAATTTTGAATTAGCAGCGTCGAGTGGAAAAATTCGTCTGTTCACAACGACTTAAAAATTCGTTCTGGAAGAGCTGCAAGAAGCTAGCGACAAGCGTCGAAAGTGATATTCGCCGCGACTATACGCTAACAAGTGTAACCGCGTGTCCAGAAGAAGTTTTTAGTATCCTGATAGCAAAGCCTACGGAAACAGATTTGGAGCAGAGCCTGCTGACAACGTTTGCTGACATGTTTTGCCAGCAGATTGATAGCGAAAACCGAGCAGAGTTCGCTGACATGATCTGACAGCAGAACCTGTTGACAGAACTTGACGACAGATTGGCAGTAGAAACCGCGCAAGATTTGTCACTTTCATACACGGCCTTGCCACGAGATGGACTTGCTTCTCGTAAGAAGAAAACGTTCAGGAGTTGTTATTATTTAATTTTATAAATTGATGTATGCAAATCGAATTTATCGAATAGGCAAGTCTCCTGGAAACTCTCAAGCTCTTTTGGAATATGCTTTCTAAATCTCCGAAAATTTTTAACTATTTTATAACTTTTCTCATGTGCATTTTGAAATGTGAAGCTAGTCAAATCAATATAATATTTTAGCAACAAAAAATAAAACTGTATATATATTAATATATATGTAGGTATATATATGTATATATTGATTAGTTTTTACACCAATATACATATATACACATAATTATATAGCTATATTATATATAACCGTTTATATATATACGTATATGTATAATATAGAGAGGAAAGCGCATACGCGGTCCGAATGAGCATTTAAATTTTAAATGACTAAGCGTAGTTTTCTTGCGCGGTTTCTGTTGCCAATCTGTCGTCAACTTCTGTCAGCAGGTTCTGCTCGCAATTTGCACGCAATCTGCTGTTAGATCATGTCAGCAGACTTTGCTCAGCCAAAACCAACTCTAATTACTTAGACATATGCTGTCAAGATCGTGACCATGAATAGCCTTCAACAAATTTTAGCACTCGCTCGTTGATCGTTAAAAAGTTAATAACTAGAATAAGTTAACATCCTGTTACAATGACTCGAGTAGGCATTGTCACTTTCTATGATTTTAAATCTTACGAGTCTACGAACATCATCATTCAATTATATCGCGCGGCCTGAAAAATGCGCTATTACATATTTAAATATTAACAACATTAATGTGAAGAATATCACTACGTCGACTAGCCAACAGAGGTCTATAGTTACTCATTCCGATTCTCGCAAGTGCTGAATTATATGAATGATTGTTTATATAGAACTTCTTTCTAACATCTCCCCAAGGTGTCTAAGATAGGTTTCCATTACAATGCCTTACTGATGAGTCCAGTAATGGAAACCGGGACGAAACGCCAACTTGTGATATTCTTCGCAGTCTTATTATTTTCACAGATTTTCACAGATTTAAAAATTATCATTATTTCATTATTAAATATTAATATATGTCTTTCAACATATTATTAAGATCTAATTAAGATGCTATAGCATCAAAATTTGTTAGATTGTGATGTCAATTTAACTAAAGTGATATTACCGCGGTAGTTAATACGTATGCGTCAATGCTGAAAATCCATCAGCGTCGCGAGGAGGACTACATACGCGGTACATAATTTCACACAATTATAATTAACATTAACATCCTGTTTCATGTATTATGCGCATGATGTATCATTTTATCTTTCTTTAACATTCGGTGAACAAACAAGGATAAATTGATGTATAATACGATATACTCTATTTTTAGTAATTTTTATATTTTAAGAAATTAAATGTACCAAAAAGATTTGGTTAATAAAAAATTAATAAATTAATAATATAATTGAATTATAGACTCTTATATGTTTCAAAAACAATACAAAAAATTAAGTAAATACAAAGGCTATTAAGAGTCAACGCTGTTAGCAGTGCGTAAAAATTTAATCTTAAAATCTATAACATAGATATTATGTCGAACGTTTCGATCCTACGTTTCGGATCATCATCAGCGACAATACAATATAAAATTAAACATTACTCAGAGTTGCAAACAATGATGTTGTTCCGCAGTATGTAATATACAACCAATCTGAGGCAAGACTATCACTTCTTCAGGTGAAAGTATGTACATTAGTTCGAATAATTGAGTATGTCTGTGAATTATATAATCAAGAATTATAAATTATCTTAAAAATTTTTTTAAATTATAAAATTTGATAAAACAGTAAAAATTAAATACTCAATAAGCTTACCTCAAGTTGGTCGACAAAAGACATAAAATCAATTATATCACAGAAATCGCATTGATCAAATTTCATCGTCAATATGTCTGTATATGACGATGTACAACGATATAATGAAGACCGTTATTACCAATCAACAGACCACAAACAAGTTAGGTCAAATTAATGTTTATTAGTTTGTCTAAAATATTAGCGTACGAGCGATCAAGACCATCGGTATCTGTTTTTAAATTAAGACCATTACTTTGTGTCTTGATGTAAAGCATTTCTGATATCAATCGCTTATGATAAAAACTTTCGCAGTCCAAAATATTCACATTGTTCACAAGATTTGGTTATATTTTTCATTAATTTAAATATATATTCTTTATTCGTCAATTGTAATTATTTTATTTCGGCTCGTTGCCCGTGAAATTATATTTATTTTTACTTAATATTGTCGAGCCTTATTCTCTTAATGTTATTATTTTATTTAATTTTTGTTAGTATTGAATAAAAACGAGCAATTTAAGACTCAAGAATTTTACATTGAAAAATTCTGAACAGTATGAATTTTACATTAAAAAAATTCAAAATTTCAAGGCAAAAATGCCGGCCCTCTAAAGGTTAACCCATTCTGCCTCTATGCAAAAATTTTACTTAATTTTAATGATCGGTCACCTTGTATATATATTTATGTATGTATATATATGCACTTTTAACCTTAATGCTGCACAATTGCAATCATGTTTATTAAAACAATTGGCTTACGACTATAAAGCGACTATTTAATTCAACTTGCGCGTAGTAATAAACATTTAATCAATTCTGTCATATCGATATAATAAAGTTCATAACTATATTAAGTATATCAATATCTTCGTCTTGTGTTGTGCTGATAGATTTGTATTGCTTATGTTATTTCTTTTTTAATAATAAATAAAATGACAATTGATCCAACCAAATCAATTCCTGCTTTTTACGCTGGACAAAGTATACTTTTGACAGGTCCAACAGGATTTCTCGGTAAAGTTTTTATCGAAAAGATATTACGATCTTGTCCAGATGTTCGTGAAATATTTTTGTTAATGCGTCCAAAAACAGGATCAAATGTTAACAAAAGGCTCGAAAAAATATTAAATTTACCGGTAAGTTAAATACACAAAAAGAAATTTTTGTAAAACGCACTTCTTTAAAGAATTTAAGATATTTTTAAGATTTTAAAGATGTTATTACATTTATATAAATGTTTGAAAGATAACATTTCTTTCAAAATGTTATTGCAATATTATCATAAGAAAAAATTTTTTCTTAAGAAGTATATTTGTAAATTTTGCAGATAATAAATAATAAAATATTGGAATGCATTTGTTAAAAATTAAATATTATATTTTTTTTATAAAAAATTTATTAAAGATGTGTCTATATTATTATTATTATTGTATAATAGACGTCATTATTATATAATAGATATATTTTCTTATAAATTATAGTGACCTTCTATTTTAGTTATTTGAAAAATTGCGCGAAGAGCAACCTTCGCAATTTGAAAAATTAATTCCAATTTCTGGTAATGTCAGTGAGAAAGGATTGGGTTTGTCTGTTGAGGATAAGCAAATGCTGATTGAAAGAGTGACTATAATCATTCATGCAGCTGCTAGTGTGAGATTTAATAACAGTTTAAAATATGCCGTATTTGTCAATATCAGAGCAACAAGAGACATTTGTATTTTAGCACAAAGTATGAAGAATTTAATAGTAAGTTAGAAAAGAACTAAAATTATGTATTGAAATAACTCATTCTCTGTCACACAATATATTTACGTAACAATTTATATTTTAATTATAAATGTTTTTTTTCAAAACACCTATCATTGTATACTTTTCGAGTTTAACAAGAACTATATATTCTATTTCAAAGCAAAAATATATAAATTTCATATATTGTTATATTATTACGTCTGAGTAATTATGTATAATTTGAGTACAATTCTTTTATTGGTTTAAACGTTACTTAACTTTTTAATTTGTCTTAAATCCTTTAATTATCACATTTAGTAAATGTCTGTATTTAAAAAAGTATAATTTTTTAATTAATTACTTTTATCTGTTAAAGGCACTAGTGTACGTTAGTACAGCATTCGCACATGTAAATGAACCAATCATAGATGAAAAAGTGTATCCACCAATAACTAACTGGCAAAAGATAATTGAAGTAGTCGAGACATTGGATGAACATACTTTAAACATTTTTACGGCTAAGTAAGTTACAAACAAAAATTGATTGCGCACTTATAAATTATATATAGATGTACTAAAATTTCTTTCGCTTTATTTGTATAATTTTTGTGATATACAAATTTTTAATTCTATGTGCACTTAAAATTATGTGCAGATGTTTAGACTATGCACCCAATACGTATATTTTTTCAAAAAACCTAGCGGAAAAAATAATACAAGATTATTCTTCCTCTTTTCCTTGCGCAATTGTAAGACCTTCCATTGGTATGTAGTTTTTCTTCTAATTATTGAAAACAATTTATCTTCTTAATGCATTACTGTAGGATATCAAATATTTGTACTTGCAATATTTTGATAAAATAAAATATTTGTGTTTTGACAGAGCTCGTATTATATGTATAAACATATTTTTATTTTATAACATTTGGCTGATATTTATTAAGCATTTGAGAAAAATTAGATAAATTAGAAATAAATATATATTCTCGTAGAGCTAATATATAACATTTTTTACTTAATTTTTATTGATAATTTGTAGGCAAGAGATAATTTAATATCACCAGAATCAACTATACCCAACAAAGAAGTTGATAATGAATAACGTCGACTTGTTTGCTGGATGATAATGTAATAATGATAATTTAACAATTGTATCTCATATCCTAGTAACATCAACGTTACAAGAACCTTTCCCAGGATGGTTAGATAACGTTTATGGTCCAATAGGACTTTTTATTGGCGGCGGTAAAGGAATACTGCGAGTAGCATGTTTGAATAAAAATGTTAACGAAGATGCAGTACCAGTAGACATTGTCATCAAAGCTATAATAATCGTAACTTGGAAAATAGGATTAACCACGTATAATCACAGGTATATATACTTTGCATTTTTAGATTATATAAATGAACATAAAAACTTCTTTCTGTATTTAGAAATATATAAATCCATGATTACAATATATTATAATTATCTACATCACTTCTGTTACATCTAAAGAGACTGTTATATGGTTGTCATATTTTCTAAAGTTTGCATCAATGAAATTACACTTAAAAGATTTAAAAATCAATTTTTAAACCAATTTTTTTATCTACATCTTGTATAAAATAAAACTGACAATTTTTTAATAATTTATTAAATTTAATAATATCAAATCTTATTGGACCGTGAAAGTTTAAATTAATAAATATCGATGAGAACGTGTAACAGTCAAGCTATAGATCATGAGTACTTCTATATAATGCGTGGTAAATTTATATACTACGTGTGTAAATTAATTCTTAAATGCGCACCGAAATTTTTTCAGGTTTACAACACAAACTCTAAACTACTAAATTAAATTGACTAACAATCTAACAATTTTGATGCTCGTAACACCTTGGATCTTAATAATGACATATTAAAACTCTGTAAATAATTAATTTATATTGCGAAAAATATTACTTCGGCCGGGAGTCGAAGATTATAAGATTGTAGTCAATTTAACTCGATAGTACTGCGGTAGTTTAGAGTTCACGTTGTAAGTCTGAAAAAATTTCGGCGCGCATTTAAAAATCTACATACGTAGTATATAAATTCACACGCATTATATAGAAGCACTCGAGATCTAGCTTAACTGTTACGGCATGTTCTCATATTCTGTTTTATAATTAAAATTTAATTAAACATTTGGTAATAAATTATTTTTTTGAAACTCTTAATGCGCAGATCTCGTAAAATTTTATGCAAACTGCAAATTTATTATTATTTATCTTTTAATTTTTTAATTAATTTATAATTTTATTTATTATTAGCATTACAGATTCCACACCTTTAGTTGTAAATTGCACAGGTCAGAAATACATTTCATATCAAAATTGTATAAAGATGTTGTTTAATATTGGACAAGATGTGCCTTTTGAAGGAGCTCTCTGGACACCTCATACAATATTAACTGATAATCTTATTCTATTTTATATATTAACAATGTTATTGCATATTCTACCTGCTATATTAATAGATCTGATTTTAAAATTCGCTGGACGCCGTCCCATGTAAGTCTTAAATAAAATATTAAACTAGTTTAACAAATGCAAATTTTTGCATATATTAGATCCAAAATAGCAAGTTGTAAATATTCCACAAACTAAAATAATATATTTGTTTTAATAAAAATATATATTTTTATAATAACGGTGAAAATAAGGATAAGGGGAATTTCATCTTCTCTTCTACAAAATGTCTCTTCTATAAACTTATTTTTTCCTAATTTCTTGTTTCTTTTTCTTAATTTATCATACTTCCTGATTCTCAAACAATGCTGTATTAGCTAAACCGTTTCTTATTAATAAATAAAGTATAAATTAGGTTAGTACAACTGCAAAGAAGAATATATGTGGCCAATCGTGCTGTGAGTTACTTTTCGTTCCATGAATGGAAATATAACAATGCAAATAGGTCAATTCTGATATCATTAATACCATGTGACAATTTTGATACATTTTCATTTGACTGTTCTTATCTTGATATTAGAACATATGGCATGTAAGTGTATATTTTTAATGTCAAGTAGATAATATTAAAAATAAGGACAATTTAAACTAATAAATGTTTATTTTACGATTTGAAGAAATTGTGCCATTGGTGCCAAAAAGTTTCTTCTTCACGAAGACATGAATCGATTAGATGCAGTTAAAGCACATCATAAAAGGTAAAAATAGTTCGTAATTTATATTAATTATTCTTTGCACATATTTAAATCTGTATGACGTTTAATTAAAAAATTACCTCCTGTTAAATAACATAATAGTAACAGTGAGAATTGAACTAATTTCCCTTCGGAACGAAAGTAAAACGAATCTAATTACATATAAAAAATATGTATATGATTTACATTTACCTCATTTTTAATATAATTATATCTCGAATACATGTCAAAAATTTCAAAATCTTAATTACAAATTTAATATTATATTTATTATTTGAATAATAAAATAACACATTTTTTAAAATGATTGTTTAGAGAAATATTGAACATAAATTACTTACTGTTGTTCTAATATAATATAATATATCATAACACAAATAATAAAAAAAAATATCAAAGAAGAAAAATTGTAAATCTTTAATGCATATTAAATAATAAAATAGAATTTATATAATTTATGTTCAAGAGACATAATATAATCAAACTTCGAGAGAGAGAGAGAGAGAGAGAGAGAGAGAGAGAGAGAGAGAAAATGTGTATTAATCTTTTATTCTCTTTTTTAGAGTGTATATACTCGTCAATATGATAAAAACTATTATCTTTATTGGAGTACTATGGATAATATACAAGTGGACCTTCATCAGTACATTATAAAATTGCGGATTTTGACTTATCTATATTTAACAATATTTAACAATATTAAACAATATTTTATGATGATTAAATATATGTTACGCACAAAAAAGATAATTTTTTTTAATTAAAAGGCATTTTTTTTTTAAGACTTATTGTATTTTTAAAATAATGAGATTATTTATTATTCAGAATTAAGTTTTTTATGAATATTTATATAATATAGAAGATATCTATAAAAAATAGTAAAATAAAATATGATTTACATAAAGATAAAATTTTATAAATTTGTAATGCTTATTAAAAAAGCAACTTATGTTGTGTGTAAAGGTAATGTTTATTGTCTAATATATATTAACTGATGTAATTACTTATAAAAAATTAAGCTGACAATATATGCAAATCGATGTAACAAGAACTTATACATCATTTAACTGAATTTCTGATCCTCTTTTCCTCAATTTCTAATCATATAATAAATGAGAATGGATTAAAATAAAATGTCAATGAATTTTAATTTATTCTCGTTTACTAAGCAAAATTTTGTTCATTTAGATTTTAGAACCATTAGATAGTAACATTATATTTGCGTCCGTAATATCTTTAATTTAAAAGTGACACAATTAACTTAAACACATTAATTTTCGAATTATTATTAAAAATGCATTAGACAACGTTATCCTATCTGTTACCTACGCCTATGCTAAACGTCACGACATGCGCGGCTAGGCAACGATCTGTATGTCGACAGTCAGAAGGTCGACACCGGCAGTTGTGTTTAGACATTCAAAATAGACCCACTCTTTCGTATTATTACTAGGCCTTCCGCATATTATGATTAGCACATAATTCTTAATTAAACTACGAATTAAAGATTAGTGACAAACACAACACTATCGATCATCAAAAGTGTATTAATTTAATTTTCCACAGAAAATTGTCAAAGCATTACAATTCTAAAGTAATGGTTTCTAATGAAAGAACATATTATGTAAAAATAATTATTTAATTCTATTTAAAAAATGCCTTTATATAACCTTGAAATATCGATTTGCTAATTCTCAAGGTCTTTTTTCAGTAATGAAAGTTTATGACAGTCAATAATATTAATGTAAAACATATAATTGACAATAATAGTAAACCTAATAACTAATATGAATAAAAATATAAAAACAGGTGTAAATCCGACCAGGGTAACTTATTGTGATATAGCTTGGATAACGTTAATACCATAAGCTTGAATAACGTACTATAACTTTCAAATCTTAAAACATGGATATTTAACATATATTTAATAAAAATAAACTATTGCGTTTTGATAATGATATGTTACACACAGCATCGCTATAAAAAAGTATTTTGTGCAAACAATAAAACTTGCTCGATGTTTGAAGAAAATAATTTTTGTTCCTATATATGTGAACGTTATGTGAGGATTGGCAAGCTACTAATTAAACAATACCGACCTATCTCTAGAGAATTTTGCCTATACATATACATACTTTTACAATAGAAATATCAATGATATTATTACTACTGTATCTTGTTATTTTTGTCTCCTCTATTGATCGAGACATAAGATCGTTCAACTTCTTAATAAACGTTTTTCTCGTAGTACGAGAGACATTAATTTTTCTTCAGATAATAAATATACTTTGTTCAGCATAAAAACTTACATACTTATTTCGTTGTCTTCTATATTGAAATTCAATAAAAATAAAATGAATTAAAAAGTAACGTTTTTAATTATATATCTGGAATGATAAAATGATGAAAGACAATAAAATGATTTTAAACATAATTTGTAAACAAACTTAAATAAATGTTATTAAAAATAGTTTAAAGATCAAGTGGTTAAATTAAAAAATAAAAGGAATAAAAATGGAGCATATACCACACGCCTGATAACAATGGCGGAATTATTATGTTTTTACAAAATAAATCTACATAATTATATGTAGATTTATACGTAGATTTATTTTGTAAAAACATGATAATTTCGCTATTGTTATCCGGCGTGTGGTATATGCTCTATTTTTATTCCTTTTATTTTTTGAATAAATGTAACTAATATTAACTTGATTTTTATCTACGTGGACTAAATTATAAATTTAATAATATTTCGCCTTTTATACGTAATAAAAACATAAAAATTTAAAAATTAAATATATTCTTATCATTATATTAACCTATATAGAGCTAATGTAATGACAATTCTTGAAAATTTTATATAGAGCAAATTCTTCTACATTTATATGTTAAATTGCATCTATTAAGAACTTAATTCTTTCTATAAAAGATTGCAATTGTATTGTACAAGACTTATTACGAACGCAAATAAATAATACCTTCACACATATTACATATTAGAAAAATATACATGTTTATACTTCTTTGAAAATTGTATTTTATTTAGTAAAGATACATATTTGTAAATATATATTAAGTATATATTAATATACAATACATATATTGTATAACATTAAGTTCTAAATTATCTGCTTTATTTAACGATATAACAAGAAATATGTCTGTAAAGGAAAACATCTTTTGACTAAAAGATTATCTTGAGTGTTTCTTAAATTGTGCGTTATATATATTTTAACATAAATTATAATTTGTTATACAATATGATATGGATAAATCATTTTTTTATAAATATTATTTATAAAGTATAAAAATAGATCCATCTGCATATAATCCAAAGTACACCAATATAGATGATAGTTTTTATCACTTTAACAAGCAGATACACTCTAGAAAATAGATTAAACACATTTAATATACATATGTATATATCTTATTGTTAGTTCTTTTTTAATTATATCTTTTAAACGTAAATTATACAATAAATTCTATCTCTTATAATTTAATATGTACTATAAAGCTATTATATCGATGACGTTTTATTCTTCCTAAACATTTTTCATTTACGTCATAGAAAATATATTAGCAATAATACGCAATTCATGTGTTCAACATTTTTATAAACAATTATTAAAAATGTCTTCGTCTATCATTTAGATAACAAATATAATATCGAATTTGTAATCAAGATTTTAATGTTTTTGACATATTTATCTGATTATACGATATACTTACAATTAGTTGACAAAAATAAATTATAACTATTCTATATAAAAAATCTTATTTCTATTCTTTCGCATACCAAAATTTTATTTGTTAATTTTTGTAATTTTTGAAAAATAGCTAGATCTAATTGTTATTGTTTTTACATTCTATTGTTAATATATCTTATTTAATAAAAATCAATTTTTTTAATGTCACGCAAATGTAAATATGTATAAACATTAATAACTACTGTTTATAATATCCTGTACCTTTTATTATGTGCCAAGAGTGCATCCAATTGATTCGTATCTTCGTGAAGAACAAATTTTTTTACACCTATGACACCATCCCTTTATATCATAAAATAATGTTTACTGGTTTTAAATTGTTTTTATTACGAACATAACTTAAGCCTACGGCACACGGTGCTTGTTTTCCTGCTGGATTGCTAGCTGGATTAGAATCTTGCCACCGTATTGGCTGCGGTGCTGAAAGTGCCAATATCGCGGCCAATCCGATGGCAAGAATCTGATCTAGCTAGCAATCCAGGAGGAAAACAAGCACCGTGTGCCGCTGGCTTTAGAATGACAAACATAATATACTTACTTGCAAATTTATATGTAACTTACTTGGCGTAATTTCTACGATTAAAATCGCTAGATTCAAAAGAAAACGTATCCTGATTTTCTGGTGGTATTAAAGATATTAGAGACGATCCATTTGCAGTGCTGTAGTACCAATTAAAGGTCGAAAAATAACCCACAGCACGATTGGCCACATATATTTTTCTTAACAGTTGTAATAACCTAATTTGCATATTAATCATTAACATAAAATTGTTTAAGTTATATAACAATACAACTTTTTTCATATTAAATATTATACATATAGATTCTAAATCCGCAAATGTAATATGTGCAATCCAAGAAATACTATTCCGTTCGAAATATATTCAATAAACTGAATAAACATTAGAAATTGTGTAATAAACATATAAACTGAAAAAACAAATATTTAAATAAATATATAATAAACGTTATAGAAATAATGTTTATAAAACTACTAATATTTCTTTACTAGTTTTAAATACCGTTTTTATACATTTCAATGGTTTGATGGAAATGAATATAAAGTTGATAAAATCTATTTAGTTTTGTCTATCTAATGCATTTTTTATATATAAAAATATCCCGGTTAAACATTTTTCAAACAAAATTTATGTACTTGGAAAACTAATTTTTTAAAATATATATTCTTTATAAATAATATGCTAATGTGCTATTATATAAAAACTTTTCTATATATGTAAAAAAAAAAACTAAATTGGGCAAATACAAAATATAACATGTATATAGCTGTACATATAACTACTGTACAATATGTATGTATAATACTATTATATGACGTACGTTACAAAATTATAACAAAATTTGCAAGAAATAGTTATAATAAAGAAAAAGAATATAATATAATAATTAATTCGTAGTAAGATATTTTTTACTAAAGAAAATATAGTATTTCATTGTTTAGATTGTTTAGAAAATACATAAATTTTAATGAAATACATGCAGAAATTATTTGCATTTACAAAATTAGTTTAATATTTAATTTAAAACTCACACAGGTCGACGTCCAGAAAATTTTAAAATCAGATCAATTAATATAGCTGGTAGAATGTGCAATAATATTGTTAATATATAAAATAGAATAAAATTATCTGTTAATATTGTATGAGGTGTCCAAATAGTTCCTTCGAAAGGTATTTCATCTTTTATAATGTCAAATAACATGTTTATATCTTCTTCAAATGTCATGTGTTGTAAAGATGTACAATTTAAAACAAAAGATGTGGAACTTGTGGTAGAGCTAATAATAAACAAAACAATTAATTAATTCATATAACTAAGCATGAATAATAATTAATTACTGTTTACACTCTCTAGAAACTTTTTTTGCATTAAATTCAAAAAATAAATATAAACTTTAATTAAAATTCTCTCTTTCATGTTTATAATTTAATACACTTAAAGATGCATATATAAATTAATAATCGTACGTAGTTGATCCTATTTTCCAAATTACGACTATTATAGCTTTGATGACAATGTCTACTGGTACCATATCTTCATAAGCAGTTTTATTCATGTAAGCTACTCGTAATACTCCTTTTCCACCACCTATATAAAGACCCACAGGACCATAAACATTATCTATCCACCCTGGAAAAGGTTCTTTTAGTGATGGTCCCACTAAAATATAAAATACATTTATAAATTAAATTATTAATGTTAGGTTAGGGTATTAATAAAAAAAAAAAGTATCAGATAGTTCAAAGAATTAAAAATAAAAAAAGTAATAAGAGGGATAATTACCAAAATTAACACAATGTTAATGGTAATTAAGACTATTGTATAGATAAATTACAGATATTGTCTAAACGTTTCGCTTTACATTAAATCATTTTCATTGGACATGACTAACTTACAATAAAAACATGTAATTGCTGATAAATCGCTATAATGGAGATTGCTCGGTCCCATAGTTGTCTGTTTTACTGATTAAACACAATAATTTTTCTATCGCAATTTTTTTTTCTTTTTTTATAGATCTGAAAATTCTTTTCCAGAATTAAATAAGTATACTTATTAAATCCTCATTTAAGAAGTGAAATTTATAGATGGAGAATCGATAAAATTTTTTAATCTAAGATCTTTTTATCATTTCTCAGTCCAATATACCGTTTAGAACTGTCCACATTGTGACAACATCTATTTGATATGTAATAAAAGCTTTACAATCTGTACAAAATTATAATCCACAGACTTAGTTCATGAACGAACAATATCGAGATCTTAGAATTGGACTTACAAGGGGAGGGCACGAGGTGTTACTCACCAATTTTAAAAAGGCTTATGTATGTTAAAGTACTGTATTAATAGAGTATTTTGGCAAAGGGATACGACCCAACTCTCAGCCGCCTTCTCGACAATGGGTTTAACGTGACCGGTATATACGGAACTGTAAACTTTAAACCGGTTTTTCTCGAAAACGGCTGAGAGTTGGGTCATATCCCTTTGCCAAAGTACTCTGTTACTATAGAGTACTTTAACATACATAAGCCTTTTTAAAATCGGTGAGTATAACACCTCGCGCCCTCCCCTTGTTAGACACTTAATTTGAAATAAAAATGCGTTACAAAAATTTATGCGTATGTGTACGTACGATATTGATATAGTAGTGATGTAATATGTATGACATGTAAATCGTATGTGTGAGTTCTATATTGAGTCAATAAAACAGATGACTTTAAGAGCCTCTTAATCCATACGGGAGTTGCAAGAATTGTGATAGTAATTACTCCAGATTAATTTAGACAAAAAAAAATTGAATAAAGTTTCTTAACCATTATATATATTTTATATAATTTTAAAACTCGTGAAGAACTTGGCAAGTAAGGCAAAAGAATGTTGTCAGCAAACTATGGTAGTTGAAATAATAAATTCTATGCGGGCATGCGTGCGTGCATGTGCATGCACGCGACAAGCGTGTGTGTGTGTGTGTGTGTATTTCCAATATATTTATCATTTTAATGAGTAACTATATTCTATTATATAATACGTAGTCTATTGTAGTATATACAAGTACTTTATTTTAAGATAACATGAAATAAGTCAAAAGGAAGATATAAAGATCAAAAGATGTTATATAAAAATTATATATAAAGATATAAAGATACAATATAAAAACAAATATTTATTTCCAAAAAAAACGTACGTACCAATGGATGGTCTCACAATCGCGCAAGGCAAGAATGAAGAATAATCCTGTACTATATTTTCTGATAGATTCTTCGAAAAAATATACGTGTTGGGAAAATAATGTAAACATCTGTACATAATTTCAGGTACATATAAAATTAAAAATTTGCACAATATTAATAAAACACAAGATAAATAATAAAACATTTTTAAAAAAGTTTATTAAAAAAATATTTCAGTATACTTATTATTTTTATTTTATAACTTACTTAGCCGTAAAAATATTCAAAGTATGCTCATCCAACGTCTCGGCCATTTCGATTACCTTCCGCCAATCAGATATTGGTGGATATACTTTTTCTTCTATTAATGTTTTATTTACATGTGCAAATGCTGTACCAACGTACACTAATGCCTTTAATAGATAAGAGCAATTTGTTTAAAAATTATATCTTTCTAAAATTATCTTTAACGGATAAGAATATTTAAGAAAGTTTTTGTAACATATTAATAAGTAGTTTAATTTATATTATCGACTTTAAAACATTATGACTATAGACATCGGATTTTTTACGTAGATACTTTTTGTAGATATGCATAAAAACGTAAATTTACATAAATATACAAATATACTCAATATACACAAATAAATATGCATTTTAGAATGCTTTTATAATAATACAAATTTCTATTTTGATATTACTTTCCAATTTGTTTTCTAAAAAAATATGAAATTGCATAAAAATCCGATGTCTAATTATATGATATTTTAATCATGCAAATATTTTTAAAAATTTATTATATTTTAACTGTTATTAAGATTGAAAATTATAGTATAACACGTATTTTTGAAAAATAAAACTTATAGTTGAAAAATTAGTTGTTACATAAAATGTACTCTAATAACAATTAACAGAATGAGTTATTTAATTTAAATGTACAATTTCAAAGACACACTCTCTCTCTCTCTCTTTCTTTCTAACTTACTTTTAAATTCTTCATACTTTGAGCTAAAATACAGATGTCTCTTGTTGATCTGGCATTGACAAATATAGCATATTGTATACTATTATTAAATCGGACACTCGCCGCTGCATGAATTATTATAGTTACTCTTTGAATTAGCATTTGTCTATCCGCAACCGATAAACCTAATCCCTTCTCACTGACATCACCAGAAATTGGAATTATTTTCTCCAAATTTGAAACTTGCTCTTTACGCAATTCGTCATACAACTAAAATAAAAGAATGACATAATTTATAAAAAAATCATTATAATAAAAGTTTTGAAGCGATTTGTTGATTTTGTTATATGCGTTTTGCACGTAGATGCAGATAAATTTAGGATATTTGCGAAAACAGAACAAATTTACGTAACGTTCGGAAATAAGAGGTCCCATAAGAAAATCTATCTCGAGAACTATTGGTCGTACGAGATTCATTAGAAAATGAAATTGTTTTGAGAAATCTTATCAGTTTTCTTTTCCAACTGAACGTTAATTTCCTTATAACAAATAGGTATGTAGTTTATGCGATATATGCAAAAAACCGATTTTTAGCTACATTTTTTCAAGATACCGGAACCGGCCATGTCTCCTGATACATGGAGACTTTTGATATGTTAAAGAGTACACTATAGATCTCTGTACAAAAATCCAGATTTACCGCATTTTTTTTTCCTTTATATCGCCAAAAATCGTCTAGTTTTACTGGGCTAAATAGAGAAATGACATATTTAATGGCATTTGCATCAACATACTCTGTTTTAACACTAGAACTGCCGCCATGCCAATTTTGTCCCGCCGGCAATTTTTGTCATCTCTAATTTTTTATCACTTTTTTATCTAAAAGTTTTGAAAATTTTTTCCTTTTAACTAATTAGTGTATTGTACTACCAACAATTTTATCGTTGTTAATACGATAGGTTCTGAAAAAATATTGAATTTATCTAGATTCACCACCGGATCATTTTTGTCCTGAATTCTGAGTCTAAACTGTGTGCTTTGTCATTAAACTCAAATTTTGTTTACATTTTATTCCACGAAAGTTATGATGCGTTGATCTACCCCCGCGGGGGTGATCGAAGCGTAGCGTGGTCAAACGTTATTTCTCAGTGTTCACTCGATCATGTTTTTGTTTTTCTTTACTAACAAGTCAGCATGCGTAATTGTGAAATCGTCTGCTGTGCATAATAAAAACTGCAACCAAACGAAATTGTAGATCTCTTAAATGATATTTCGGAATGTGAATCTGATGGTGAATCTTTTAAAAATTCTGATTTTTCTTATAATTGACCTACATTGGTTCAGTAATCATTATAATAATTTAACTGGGACAAATTTGTCCCGACGGTCTAGGGGAAGTGCCAAACTTCGGCGATTCTAATGTGTATTTAAAAATTTTCTATATTTAGAGCGTTTGACTATACAAATATAATTGGCTGCTGACTCCTTTAATTTTAATATTACAAATTTAAACATTATACTACGACTTAAATAGTTATCCGATTGTTATGTATCAACGAAATTCTATGACCATTTCATCTAGTAACTACGATAAAGGACTCAACACTCGCTTCAGTAACAACAATTCAAAGGACAATAATTTTAAGATTTACACTATAATGATTGTTATCGCGACTCATTTTATTTAACCGTTATTATACATTATTACATTTTAAACTCTGAAGAAAGACCCGTTATTACGAAACGTTCATTATTAATGTAATTAACGTAATTAATGTGACACAGAATAAATAATTGTTCTTAACATTAAAATTTATACATCTTATTTTTAGTTCGATTACTAACAGATTTTTTCATACAGTATCTTTGCATAATACGTGCAACATTAGATGTTTTTTTTTATATTTACTTACCGGTAAGTTTAATATTTTCTCGAGTCTTTCGTTAATACTTAATTCCTTTTTAGAACGCATCAACACAAATATTTCACGAACATCTGGACAAGATCGTAATATTTTTTCAACAAACATTTTTCCCAGAAATCCTGTTGCACCCGTTAAAAATATACTTTGCCCTGCATAAAATGCAGGAATTGTTTTAGATGAATCAATAGTCATCTTATTTATTATTTTTAAAGCAATAATATTAGGTAATATTAATCAAAATTGAGCTATGCCAAATTAAGATATTGGAACACTTAGTACTGTTATCTGTTTTATTGTGTCGACATAGATGCCTAGAGTTCGAATATATCTATTTACTGACGGACAAACTAAATTTTAATGAACTGAATTGTTATTTAAATTTTAATTACAGTCATGCCAATCAATTTTTCAGTGCCCGTACGGTATATATGTAGAATATAGAAGATCCAATTTGACGGTATATCTATATGTAGAATATGGAAGACTAAATTCGAATCCTAAAGCAATATTTTGTCAAATAAATAAATTATTCGCAGTTTTAAGATTCTTATTATCATCATAATATTTTTACAAAGATGTTTATTACATCAAAAATTATTAAATTGTGTTTTAATACCGAAACAGATTTCGCGCGGTTTACAGAATCAGATATGTATATAAATGTATACAGAAAAAATGAACAATACTTTGTAACAATAATTATATAATTGTAACAGTAATAAAAATTAGACGGAAATATTGTATAATTTTCATTATCTTTAAATTGTATTATATAATTGTATAATTGTAACAATAATAAGCGCAAGAGAGTTAAGTTAATCGTGCAGTATTCAAAATAACAATCATATTGATTCTTTTGTAACTTATATCAATTTAACTACAGTATCATTGTCCAACAAAATTATATTTTTTTAGCAATAATGAGAAAAATAGCGTCAATGAAACCAAAAACAATATAGTTAAAAAAATTTTAATTATATATATATAGACAACAAAGTACAATTATATAAATTAAATTAATTAATTGGTTGTATCAATCTAAACATTCTGGATTATCCTAAACAATATTAATAACTTATGGCACTTTATGAGTCGTAATACCTTAATTTTATTCCTAATGCCTAATATTGAAAATGACATTAATTTTGCAGTTTAAGATTGAAATAGGAAACACGTGCTTATGTATGTAATTATTATATATACGCTTTTTTCAATAACATAACTGTAATGTAAAAACATAATATAATTTTACATTTATGTTTTATAAATAATAAATATAGATTGTTTATAAAATATTAAATATAAAAGTGTGATTGACTTTAGAATCTAAATAAATAAATAAAATTTTAATTAAAAATTAAAGAAGCGAATTTAAATTTGAAATTAAACTGAATAACACATTTGTAATCAAACTGAATAATGCAATGAAGTCAAACTGAATAATGCATTTTCTTAGTACATGAATAATTGGAGGAAATGATAGACAAAAATAATAAATAGCTTAACCCTGACAGGATCAATGTGGCATACATATTACATTTTTTTTCATGTAATTTTAATTTTTTTTTATATTTAACTATCATTATTTAAACCTTGATATAATTTATACTTGCAAAAAATTGAACTAATCAAAATCTACGTATCAATTACATATCCTATATGAAATACGTTTCAAACAATGTTTGAACCACGAATGAATAATTTACCAGTCATGCTCAAATTATATATAATAACGGAATTAAATATTTAAAACAAATGTGCAAATAGACTTTAAAACGACTAAAATGTAAATATGCTGTTATTTCATAAGTCATCATGAGATATTTATTCTTTGCTGTCAACTATTTAATTTATAATGTAATATTGATTATTAGTTTTTAATATATATATCTATTAAGTCAATCATTATTTATTTTATTCTCTATTTCCAATTTTTTTTGCAATTTCAATGCATGGGCTATCTATATATATTAATTGTGTAGAAAAAAGAACTGTTGAAATATACAGGTAAAGGCTTAGGTCTTTATTGTAGGGATATACAATTTGTTCCTTAATATTGTGTTCAAGTTACCTTCAGTAATAATGTTACCACGCTGACACGTATGCGCGATTTAGGTAGCAATAAAGAGAAAAAAACAGCCAAAATGATTTGTGTACCCAGTCGTAAAACAAATTCGGGTTCAACATATCCTCCCGAGACTCAGCGTACATTTTATACATCACACTTTTGTCTTTGCACGATTAACAGACGATTTATTTCCTACGCTCAAGCTGTATAAAAATTTTAACGGTTTGCAATATGTAACTGCCACATTTTTCTTAGCAATAGTGACAGGTAACGACAAACATAACTTTTGCAATTGACACTTTAGAAATCGTAAAATTCACACGTTTTATGTAAATATTCTTTATGTTCATCTCTATTCTGCTCTTTCTCTTTTCTCCTCTTTCTCTCTCTCTCTCGTTTTCATCAATGAAAGTAAAAGCATGTAATAATATACAATGAAGTAAATCTAAAAAATGTATATAATTCAGTTTTTGTTGCTCAAATATTTATATATATTTACACCATGTAACGTACGTGATATATTAGGATGATACATGCATTTTGGCGTAACGTTTATAAGAAAAATATAATGCCTATTATATATGCTATAAAAATAATTAAGTTTAAACTTACAAATATACTAAATCATCACTACTTCTTGGGATCCTAAACTATATATATCAAAACGATATTAACATGCATGTTACTAAAAACATAGCGTCAGGTCTCAGGAGGATGTACACAAAACGCGACTCGGATTTCAAGAATAGAATCTTTATATCTGCTTTCTTTTCAAACAATTCATTAGTGTTCATTCATCTTCCTCTGCGGCGCTGGCTATTCGTATTACGCGTTTTTGAAGCAACACAGACGGATCGGAAGCTATTAATTACAATATCGAATCTCCTGGTTGATCTTACTAAACCATCTTTCTAACGTTTCAATAAGCTTATGACCCATACACGAAAAATTAATGAATTCATCGGCGCTCGCTGATGTGTCTACATAATTGTGCATTGACTTAACACTTACGATATATATATGTACATACACGTATGCAGAGATATGTTGCTGGTTCACTGTCGCAGAGTTTATCATTTGACGGAGAATAAAACTAAGTCGCAGATAAGTAGTGCTAATCCACAAATTTCTTAAAATAACATTAATATACTATGCTTCGATTGTGCCTGAGTATGTAATAATAAAAGATTATACATATTCAGTTTACTTTCAAAGTCAACAAAATTATTTTTGCTTAATAATTTACTTAATTAATAATTTTTCAAACACGATTAGAGTTAATATTCAGTTGTTATTCCGCTAACTGATATTTTAGGAGATAATAAAAAATTGATTATGAAATAAGAAAATAATTTTATTATTGTATTAAAATCCAATTCAAGTAGAATACTCTATTTATGTATCACGCCATGCAAAATTCGTTAAGCATTAATAACTATAAACGTAATAAAATTTATATACAATATATTTGTGTTTAAAAGAAAAGAACACTAAAAATTCACCACTATATAATTTAAAAACATTTTAATTAAAAAAAAATTTTATATTCAGAATTTGAAGTACCTATATGTATAATAGACAGAAGATTTTTAAAAAGTCGATGAAACTGTTACGAAAATAAAAGAATTTTTATTCATTAAGGCATAATTAATGTGTTTTATTTAATAAGGTATAATTAATATGTAATTTTAATATGAATTAGCACTTCCTTCCTGCCTCTCTAAATACCAACAATAAGTCCACTTTACTTAGACACTACAATTTTTCAAGGATGTGTGTCTTTCGTCGAATAACATTTAACATTTTGTGCTCAATAAGTTATTATATAGTTCTAACAAATCATTTCCTAACAAAAATTAATCGCTCGTTCGATTTTTATTTAAATTAGAATCAAACGGTGTATATATATGTACATATATTTAAACTTTAATATATCATCCTTGTTTTGCTCCGATATCATCCAAGAACTTTTTTGCAAACAAAACACAAGAAATAAATGTTTTTCTACTAGTTTCATATAGGTATTGAATGAAATCTTACTTTTTAAAATTTAATTCAGATAAATATAAATATCTAAAGAGAATTAACAGAATAATCTTTCTCTCATTTGGCAAATATTTTAATAAAAAAAATTCGATTTTTTTTATTGATCTTATGTATGTCTTTGCTTCTTCTATATCATTCGGATGATATCGAAATAGATATATTAGTTTATAAAAATATTGGCCAAATGCAAATAATTTGATACGAGTCCCTGATTTCCGAGCTCGATAGAGTAATATTACGTATGCATATTTTTCAGAAAGGTCGTCGTGCAACAGCGAACCACTATCGGAAGGTAAAATGGCTCCTTTATTAGTATCTAGTACGGATCACGGTACATTTTTCGTTTGAAATCATCAGTTTTGACATCATCACGTGCAAGAAATTGCATTTTTAAGCTGCTTACAATTGAGGTAATCCATGATATAAGGCCCACGTCACTTTCCACTTCGTACTATCGCATACACTATTCACTAGTGATACTCTCGATACTTCTTTCCTCCTCCGTCACCCTAAAGTACTTAGAATTAATATATTTTGCAAGCCTGCGCAAACATAAGGTCGAACATCGAACGTCTCCGGCATATTCGCCGCAATCGCTTTACTTGTTTATCTATCATCCTTTCAACTTATCATCAACTATATAGTATACTATAACTACACTTCGACATATATGTATCACGATACGGATTAGTATGCCTAACACACACGACATTTCGCTTTACACTAAGTACTTAAACATTACACGTTCAACCCAGTCTATAACAAACGTTAAAACCATGGTAGTGTAAAGGTCGAACGATGAGAAAAAAATTGAACATGTGATGGACAAGTATGACAAATTATTGAAACGATGAGAAAGTTGCAAATAAGTCATCACGTTGAGTTTATAATCTTGCAAAAGCTTAAGAAACAAAAAATAACAATTGAGGATTATAGAGAATTCGACTGGCATTTTTGCGTTAATAAGTTTTGGCGATTTCTTAAATATCTCACGAATTTAACAGCAGTTGCTTTTCCACCGAATCCGAATTGTTCGACTTGTAAACAGTCGGACATTCTGGAAAAGTGATGAAACTTTTCC